GAGACAGTCAGACAGACATTTCTTGTTCATAGCTATGGGAGTCAGTATGTTAACATGGTACACTGGCATAGCCTGCCACTTGTAGTAAAGAAACTGAACAGCTTTATTTTAGACTTATCAAATACTGAAGCCATGTTTACTCAGACAATTGTCTCACATGAAATTATAGCAAGACTAAATTTCGCAATGTATCTTGATTGCAAGTGCAAAAGATATTTAACTGCTGTTATATAGACATGCTCGAAAACGACATCTTTATTTATTTCACATTTTGGACTTATAAGGATGTTACAAAACAATTTGGTCTTCACCAAATTTTAACAGTTATAAAACTAATCTAAGGGCCTGATTGTTGTCTGTTGATTCTTAGGGTCTAAATAAAAAATATCTTCCCATCCTTTGACGTTTTACTGATGCCTTTTTTTATGTCAACAGCGACTGAAAAAGCACTTAAACAGAAGTGAAACTGCAATTGCATTTGTGTTTTAGATTGAAAAACTTGACACATGGTAAATGTTTACATTTGCATATTCTCCTGCCATGAATTTGTCTACTTTGGTTATTAGAATATGATATTGCATATTGATGAAGGAACAGACGCACAAGATGTCTGCTGTAAATACAAATGCAAATCACTTAACAGCTTTTTGAAGATCTGCTCTGCACATTTGCATGTTTTATCAGACAAGTAAACCTCTAAAGATCAGGCCCTAAATGTACAAAACACACAATAAAGGAAAACTAAAATGGGAACAGTACTCACCAGCTGTTTCCAAAGTGTTTAAATCAGCCAGACGCTCAATAAATAAAGCCCATTACTTGTTGATAATCAGCAAGTATAAGCAAAGAGACATTGAGGTTTTCTTGTCTAGATGATATCAATATGCTAAGGGACAAAATATTAATAATGCCCTTAGATAATAAGTAAATATGTCCTAATACAATTTTTTTTATTTCTGATATGATTCCGATATTGTATGGGAATGATATCCACTGTTGATATCGGAATGGGACATCACTAAAGACAAATGTTTATTTCCATCTTAGGATATTAAAACATATGCCAGCAAAAAACATCTGTAACAGTTTCCTGTATTCCAAATAGTAAACATCTAATATAATTTATCCCAAGATCAGAACAGCTCGATATTAATTTATCTAGGCTTTAGCTAGTATGTTAAATGACATTACAGAATGGTTATTGTGGAACAGCAAATGAGTGTTTACGAGGTAATGATGACTCATATTCCATTGTCAAATGACGTTGATCTATGAAGCAAAAATCAAGCACAGTTGACATCAGTCGTATTTAAAGGTTTAGAGGAGGATTTTGATCAATTTTTGAAAAAACCCACCCTCTCCACCTTAAAAAAAAAATGCACATGCACAACCCTGTACCCACAATTAAAGAGCGTGCACAAGCCCATTTCTCCTCGTGAAAACTGTTTGAAAGTTGCTGTTTGCATCGTTCGTACAAGCTTACTTTTCAAAAGAAGATTTATAATTTTTCTATGTCAAAATCATGTCTGGTAAGTGTAAATGGGGACGAGCACATAGGACGGCCTTACATAAACATATCACCAGAATTATTGACGATTAGGAGGACCATTTATTTTGATGATCCACTCGGAAAAAGAAAATCCTCCACTATACCTTTAAATGATTGACAATAAACCTAAATGAATCAAAGTAACATTGTAAAAAAAAAACTGTTTGCCATAATAGTGCTGCAGCAACATGAGAGGCTAACATTGTCATGTAGCAAATGACCAAACAGAAAAAGTTGTCCCTGGAATATAAAGTGAACCTTTACTGTGCCACCTTGGAGCCCCTTTATAAGAAACTTTGTAATGGAACTTTGAAATGAAATATTCATTTTTCTTTTAAGTGAATCTCTTCTGCTGTCATCAATCTAGAGCGCCAGGGATTCATCAGAAATCCAGGATGAGCTGAATGAGAAGGTAGACAGACTCAAGGCTGAACTTGTGGTCTTCAAGAGCCTGATGAGTGACGTAAGTATTTGTTCACTGCTGCGATGATGTCACCGTCTCTTCCTCACCCTTTCATAAATCAAGATCTGAGTTTACTCTTCCACTCAAAGCCCACATTACAGCCGCATTTACTGTTTTCCCAGGAATTATCAGACAAAATGTTCTCATTTTACTTTTTTGTCTAAATAGAAAGACACACCCTTCCTTCCTTCCTGCTTTATTTGTTGACATGAAAATGTGAATTGTAATAATGCCCCTATGATAAGCCTACATTCGTCAAAGCAGAGGCTTAAGATCTATAGGACTTCCTTTCCCATACAAGCCTGTATTGTTTCCAGACAGGTGTGCTTTGCTGTGATAAAGTTAAAATACATAACAGAATTCAAAGCTGTTGTTGGTCACAAGTAAACAGCCAGGCTCTGTTATTTGTGTAAAATCTCTTGCTTATCTCCACTTTGCCATCTGTTTGTTGTCCGATTTTCATGGTACTTTCTGTTCTTTACCTCATCCCTGATGTTTGAATGCAGAGGCTGGTAAGTGGCAGATAATCAGAAATTTAGACAGCATAGATATTTTTTGTGTGTGTTTTAGAAGTTATAGTGGGTGTATGTGTTATGTGGGTGTTGATGTGATTTTGAATCTGGTGATCCAACAGTTGTTGCACCAGAGAGCAGATTGTCTTTTTATAGCTTGATGTCTGCTCCTGAAAACTTGTCTAATGTTTTTTATGAAATGCTTAAAATACATTTTTATAATTTTATATTCAAAGAAATATTGCTATTTCTTTACCTATTAAAATATGTATGATTCTGTTGTAATGGAATTTTCTATGTCTAACATAAGCAGAACAAGAAGAGAATGACAAGCTTCTGTAGCCAATTTCAAATAAATGAAAATATGCAGATCTAAGGATCACACTGAGAAATACCTTTTCATGAGCAGGCAGGATTTTTTTTTTATTGCAAACCGATCAGTAAATTGCAGAACTTAATAGGAAAAGAGTAAAAGAAAATGCTTGGACCGCAAATTATTGAAACCTAGGTCTGTAAAAAACAAAAATCAAAAAGGTATAGAGAAAAAAAAACATCCATTTTCATCTAACTGCTCTCCGTCATTTTGCAGGAAATGTCTGACCTGGACACAAAGATCCAAGAGAAAGCCAGAAGAGTTGACATGGACATCTGCAGACGTATCGACATCACGGCCAAGCTGTGCGATGTGGCTCAGCAACGCAACTCGGAAGACATGTCAAAGATGTTTAACGTCAGCCCAGCCAGGTCGCTTCCAGAGAAGGCACGTTTTTTTTTATTATTGTGGGGAAAAAAGCTGAAAACAAATGCAGCAAAAATAAATAAATAAATAAAAATTCTACAGAGAAAACATTTAGCTGTAATGAAACCAGAGCTGCCAGTTGCTCCTGGTTTAAACTGATCCATTCAGCACCAGCTGATGCTGCACTTACTGACCTCTCCGAAAGGTGCAAACGTACATGCTCACTTATGCACTTGGAACTGTGTAGAAACATGTAAATTATTTTTGTATACTTAATGCTTTTCTTAAAGGACTTAAAGGACATGCAAGTTTGGCAGGCAGTATATTTTAGTGTATATGAAAGTTTTTTCTATACTTTTCAAGCTAAAAATGTCCTGTCATTAGATCTTTTTGTCATTAACTTCAAGATATATCTTTGCTCACACTGAGGCTACAATTCAGTCTTTTTTCTTTCACTCTTATTTGTTCAAAATTACATTTTTCATTTCTTTAAACCTGTTTGTGTAAATGTTTTGTGAAACAGTTTATTTAAAAAATCTTAATGAATTTGCTAAAAATCTAAACATTTATTTAAATTTATGCTAGTTTAATCATGGAATTTTAATCTGGGACAAGCATTTTTTGTTTTTGTTTTTTTTTTCATCAACAACTTCATGCACCTTTAAAAAAATATGAAAATAGATACGGATAAAAGCTTTAACCCTTGTAGGCTTTCATGTAAAGCATGAAAAAATATACTTTTTTTTTTTTTTTTAGAATTGTGTGTTTTCTCAAGAAAACATGAGGCTTTAATCATTAAAACTACCTTTTATTAAGTCCAAACAAATAATAACTAAGGAATATTGTTTTCAGCAATTTTTTAAGAAGCATTTTTTTTTCAAAGGGACACAAAAGAGCAAGAAATGATAGGACCTGAAGTTACTTATTTATCTAAACATTGCTTTATCCTGGTTGAGTTCTGCACTTTAGCTAAAAAAGGGAAAACAAATGGTAATACAGACAGTAATAGATAGATGACAGTGTTTAAGCCCAGTCTAAGCAGAGCGAGTTGTGTCTTCTGCAGGGTGCCATGGCCTGCTGCAGGAGAAAGGAACGTAAGACCATCTCAGATGAGGAGAACTCCGAAATGGATGCCGAGCCAAGCACTTCTGAGGAGGAGGTCCCTGGATCGCTCAACATCACGGATGAGATGAAGCGCATGCTCAACCAGCTGTAAGTGACACCTCCCTCCTTATAAAGCTCCACAAGGAAAGTAGGAATCAAACTGAATGCATTTTGCAATTTGGACTTTCTAGATTTGGTTGTGTGCATTTCTTTATCTCCCTCTGCTGTTCATTTTTAATATCGCAACTAACAATCTGCACGTTTTTTTTTTTTTTTTTTTGGTGTTTATGTTGGCATTTATATGTTTTATGTATTTACAGTTGACCAATATTTTGTGATAATATTATGAGCTACTGCGGCTGCACCCTTTACTGCTAATATTCGCAATAAATGTCTTATTTTGACTTATTAATTTCCTATTTGCATGCAACCTTTGCTGAACCTGCTGGCTGTTACACTTTTCTATGCTTTCCTCCCTTTTCCTCTCTCCTTTTTCCTTTTTTTTCTCTGTCCCTGTCCCACGCAGACATTGCTCAGATAACTCATTTGTTGCTAGGCGTGAGACATTTGAAATCGACGACGACTGCGACAGTCTGACATGGGAGGAAAACGAGGAGACCCTGTTGCTGTGGGAGGATTTCACAAACTACAACATGCCATGCACCATCGCTGCAACGACCTGCACTGCCGCCTGCCCTTGCGAAGCCAGCGCCGAGGCTGCTGATCCGGTAAGCCCAGTCTGAATGAAAACACTTTCTTCAGACTTGTACCAGTAAGATATAAACTCGTGCGTGATAAATGAGGCCTCTGTCTGTGCTTTCTAAGGATTCGCAGGATGGAAGTCTTGGCAGCCTCATCGATGAAACAGAGTCACTATTTAAAAACAGGGAGAAGGAATACCAGGAGACCATCGGACAGATTGAGGTACACTGAAACACATATGATTATGTGATGAAATAAGAGAGCCTGACATCTCATAGAAAGCGTTCAACAACACACAAGAGTTAGAAATCTAAGTCAATCTCTGCTCAATCCAAAAAGAACTACTGTATTGAGTTGTATCCTGCCTACAAGAAACAATTGTTGGTGCTTTAAGTTTTTTAGTTTCTTTATTATTGTCAGTATTATAGTGACATCCGGATTACAGAGGCTTTAAATAAATCTGAGGAAACATCTGCAAAAGCAACAAAACATACATGCAAAGGTTTGTATGGACAAGACCAGTTATCCTCGATTCAGGACTAAAACCAACCAATCTGGCTTTCTCCTGCTGACACCCGTTTTACTTCAGCCCCTGTCACACCTTGACCTTCAGCCAGTGATTGTTGACATACGTTAAGTGTAGGTTATTCATAAGTCGTTTCATCTAGCTTATCCAAAAACAATGAGTAACTTATGCATGATATTTGACAGCTGAACGCATTTCTAACTTACAGCTACTGTATAATGGCTTATCGGCAGCACTTTGGTATAAAAGGGGGTTCACAGGAGGAAACCATCTGTACTCCTCCAGACTTCATCCCCATCATAGGTTGAGCGAGAAGGTGAGAGTAATGGTTCACGCCCGCGTTAACGCCCAACAAGCTTCCTACCAAACATGACGCTGACTGCAAACCTTCTGCAGTCTCTCTTTTTCTTTTTATATAAAGAAACAGCAGCTAGGTTAATACCGTAATCAAAGACATCTTTTTATGCAGGCCGGGTCCCTCCGGGCGCATGGCTGCCCTCCTCAGGACACTGGCTTGTGACGTTTCATGGGCATTATGCTGTCGTTGGACATAAGTTCTCGACTCGATGTGAAAACACTATGTATACGCCCAGAGTTGAAAAAATACATAGAAAGATCAGCGTATGTCAGTATTTTAGACGATTCTAGGACCTTAGGCAAACACTGGCTATGCCGTTAAGGTGTGCCAGGGGCTTCAAGGAATCACACCTCAAAAAAAAAAAAAAAGTAGGTTTGTTGATATAGTTAATAGTTTTAAAATCAATGTCCATGACACCATTTTGCAAGATTTAGTCATTTCATGCATTTGAAACTTTTGGAATAAATATTTTTAGCTTAGATGTTATTATTATTAGGACGCTTTCTTCATACATTACATCATCCAAGTCAAAGTCAGATGAAATGTTGTAATTCCTTATTTGCATTTTGGATGCATTTAGGAGTCTGATTCAACACGTCATCAGCTAATCATGTTGATATTTCTTCAGATGGAACTGGCCACAGCAAAGAGCGACATGACCCGACACCTGCACGAGTACATGGAAATGTGCAGCATGAAAAGAGGCCTGGATGTGCAGATGGAGACCTGTCGACGGATGATTAAAGGTGGCAGGAATTCTCCTTCTTTTAGCTCGGTGGCCAGCAGCGACTCAGGGAACACAGACGAGATCCAGGATGAGATCTCCGATAAGGATGCAGAGGCTGAAGTCCCGCTCAGCTGATGGCTGTGTGCCTGGGTTTTGTCCCATCTCCTGTTGTCATTGGAGTTTAGATATGAACAGTGTCATCCTGGCCGGAGGTGGAATAAGCTTAACATGGTGCAGGCTACTGGTGCTTTTATACTGTTTCTGCTGGTGGTGGGGGTGTCTCTGCTTCCTGAATGCAGACACCAAGCTGTGCTCTCTTTCTCGCTGCTGATTCCAGGGCTTCAAATCATTTTGCAGAGGAGGGGAAAAAAATATTTTAAACAAGCGGAAAAGTATTTTTTATCCAGTTAAGATCCTTTTATTCTAAAGGAATTGAATACAGTACATATTGTACTCCAACAAAAATTCACCAAAACTATAACTATACATCTGTGAGACTGAGAAACGTGTTTCTGCTGATTGATTTTTTGTGTGATTTGATCCCAGGTGTGGTATTCAGAGTCCAAATTTAAGTGTTCGGGTTTAAGTGTCTTCTGTCATGGAGACAAAGAGAAGTGGAAAGAAATGGTGTTGAAGTTCTGCTTTTTATCAAGGGAACTCTGCAGGCTTGCCAAAGTCAACAGAGGAAAGGAGCACAGCCCTTTTTTGTAAATGCACCGGTGCACTACTGAATTCTATGCAATTTAGCCAGCCTTATTGCTTTTTGAACTGGTTGCTACCCTTCTTTGCTTATCTTACAGCCATCTGCCTCTTCTAATTAAAGCAGGTATTTTTTATTTTATTTTACTATCTTTGTTGGGGGTATCAACTGGATTAGTGCTCATAAAAAAAATAATAATATCATAAAATAGGCCTTTGCGAAAGTATTTGTGACCCTTAAACTTGTTCACTTTTTGTTACATTTCAATCAAAAACATTAAAGGTATAGTGGAGGATGTTCTTTTTCCAGGTGGATCATCAAAATAAGTGGTCCTCCTAATTGTCAATCATTCTGGTGATATGTTTACGAAAGGTTGTCCTACGTGTTCGTCCCCATTTTCACTTACCGATGGTGAATCTGACATACAATAGTGGAAAAATCCAAAATCTTCTTTTGAAAAGTAAGCTTGTATGAGCAATGCAGGGGCGGATTTAGGAAATTTGGGGCCCTAGGCAAAGACAGGCAGGGGGCCCCCTGAGAAGAAAACCCATAAAACAGACCCATTCTACAGATAGAGAAATGTTAATAGAAAAGACATCCATTATTTGTTCTAGGTTTTGTCCCTCTCTTCTTGTCCCTTTTTCCTCTCTATCAGCGTTCTGATGGCATTTTAGCCAAAGGATTTTTATCAAAAACATAATTAATGTGCACAAATAAGGATTAGTTGTATTAACCATACATGGATACAGAGTTTTATGGGGCCCCCAGGAACTTGGGGCCCTAGGCAACTGCCTAGTATTGCCTAATGGTAAATCCCCCCCTGGAGCAATGCAAACAGCAACATTTAAACAGAGGGTGCACAAGCAGAAATAAGCTCCTGCCTGCTCTTGCACAGTTTAATAGGCGTTCCTTCTTGGGAGCGAAGACAGGGTTGTGCAGGTGCATTTTTTTTAAGGTGGAGAGGGCGGGTATTTTCAAAAATTCATAAAAATCCTCCACTATACCTTAAATATATTTTATTGGGATTGAATGTGGTTCACCAACACAAAACTCCATATCAGTAAAAATCTATGTCAGTATCCATAATTCTAAGGTAGAAGCAATAAAATACTTAGTTTTACATTTTGACAATGTCATTATTGTCATTTCTTTAAAAATATAAATCTGAAAAGTGTGTCAGGAATTGATGTTCTGCCCTTCTGCATTACATCTTTGCAGAACCTGCAAATCTTTTGGAGTGTCCTTTCCATGTTTGCATTAGAGGCTAAACTTTTGCACATTCATCTTTTCAAAATATGCCAAACTAAAAGAAACTGGATGTAGAGTTTCAGTTAGCATTAATTTTTGAAGTCTTGCCACAGTTCCTAAATAAATGTATGTGTAGGGTTGGTAGCTCTCCATACTCAAGTGTTTTGCAGCCTCTAATAGGTTTATCCTTGGCTGCTGAAAAAAAATCCCCATTAATTGAAAGTTTTTTATGGTGATGCTTATTATTTTTCTGCCTTACCATTATTTTTTTTATATAGATAACAAATATTTCCATCTGATCTCCTCTAAATAACCGGAGTTGCAGAATACAAAAAGAATAATTGTCCTGTCCAAGTTTGTAGCTCTCTGCAGCTCATCTATAGTAACCAAAGCTCTCTTGGCTGCTTCATGCTCGCCTTTTTAGGGCTGATGCATAAAATCCCAATAAAACACATTGATGATTGTGGCTGTATCATAATAAATGGTGAAAAAAGTTAAAAAAATATGACTGCTTTTCCAAGGCAGAGTGATTGTTTGCCAGGTTTAGCTTGCTATTGATGCAGGCAGTGCTCTGCTGTTACTCACATCTGCTTCACTGTGGAAATGCCACTCGTGCGTTGTGCCCCTAATTTGCACAAATCAACACTTAGTTGCTTGAAAATGGGACACAACTCATTTCTGATTTTTATGCTGAAACCAAAGGGCATATTTTATTTTTTAAGCTTAAAAAAATAGTAATTTTACTTGTCAATATCATGCTGTCTTGCAGAGTCCTCTGCAGGAGAGCAGATTCCTTATTGCTTCGTTTCTTAGAACAGGGCTAGAAACCTCAGTCTGTACTTAATGTCTGTCAGCATGCGATTGGATATACCCCAGAGGCCTTTTTTTTGTTTGTCATTTTGCTGCAGAATGGTAAAATAATTCAGCACAGATTCTAATCAATGGATGGAGAGACAAAAGGCTTTTTTGTTTGTTTTAATCATATGTTTATTTTTAAATGTGATTTAATGGATCCAAGTTTAAGAGCTACTTCTATCTTTAAGATTTTCGGTGGGCAGAATATGATGAAGCATGTTTATAAGTGGGAAAGAAGTTCTGGGTCTCTTTTAACATATACTTTGAGCAAAACAAATGTATTTCTGACTGTTTACTGTCTCGTTATATTTTACATTTAAGAAAATGTGTATTCTTTTTAACCAAACTGTGTTAACCATTAAGCTTTGTTGCTATTTTAGCTTTTAATAACCTAAAACATAACATTTTTGCAGTTATTTTTTTAACAACTGACTCAAGAGAACGTTTTAGAGCAGTCTGCTTAAGGGGGAATATGTCAAACTGTTTGTATAAAACCAGCCTGATCAATAACAAAGAGCCATTCTGTTGTTTCTGCTGGACATTACTCACATTACTTAATGACTGTATGGACGTAGCATTCATGAACCACAGGTCTGATGTATTTCTGGCTCCTCCGATCATCACGTTACCAGCCAACCTAAGCAATCTTCTTTGTCATAAAGAATAAACCCAGGATTAATAATTCTGACTTGGTAAAGTTGTGTAAACTCATTCCCAGTGCACATGCCAACCACTGATTTTTTCCATTGTCCAAAACTCCTGCTAAGTACTAAATGTCAGGTATAACATCTTGACCCTCTCAGTCAAAGCAGGTTTCCTTTTTTTTAGTTAAAAAAGCTTTAGCTCTTATTTGCTGAATGTAGCTTTACTGGAAGCCTCTAAAGACCTTAAATAATGTAGCTGTTAAAAACGCAGGGACACATGGTGTTTGGTTACATGCTGGGAACCTAAGTGTGAGTTTTTGCTTTACTAAACAAGTTTTCAAGCTTGCCACCAAGGCGTATGTAAATTTGCGTGATATGAATGTTTCATACTAAACAAAAAAATGGGGTTTTATACAAGGATGTTTTTTTTGATAAAGTCTGGGAATTTTTTTCGTTAAAATTTAATCTTTGCTAGTAAACATTTCTGCTGTTTTAGGAAGGTCCAAGCTGCAGCAATATTTGCATAGAAGATGCTGAACTTTTATCAAGTCCCCTGTTTTGATGTTTATTTTGCCTCAAAGGTAATATCTTAATTTCAATTGGCTGTTGTTTATTTATATTCTTTACTCTTAGATTTGTAAGTTTATTATTTTTTTCTAATATTTTTGTTGAAATTATTTATATGGTAAACTCATGAGGGTGGTGGGCTGTCTTAGTTTAAAACTGATGAATGTATTTAGTTCATTTTAGGGTAATGTTAAATAAAGTGGTGGATTGGTAATAAAATGTTGTGCATTGTATTTTTTTTAATCTTTTAAATGTTATTATTCCTTTAAAGAGTGATTTCAGAGACTGTGGTGTTTATATGATTCTAATAAAATTAGAAGGTCCTGGGTTAAAATTCCAGTCTGGAGGTCTCTGCAGAAGGGTTTCCCCCTCCATAAACACGACTGACAGGTGATGCTTGTAATTCGAAGGTTGCTGGTTTAAATCCCTGCTCACTCGGTCTCAGTCATTGTGTCTTTAGGAGAGACGCTTCACCTACATTGCCTTCCTCTGGCAAAGAAGTCTGTCAGTGTGCCCCGGGTTAGCTGTGGCTACAATGTAGCTTGACACCATCAATGGGTGAATGACTGAATGTAATGAAAAAGTGCTATTTAAGTTTGGGCCATTTACCATTTGGAGATTCTAAATTAACAAAATATATTTCTTTATTTTGGCTGCTGTGATATTATTACAATATCAGTATAAAACAAAAGAAAGGCCTTAGATAAGACTGCCAGGAAAACCCACAACATAAGCCTTTACAACCTTATGATTATTTTACCAACTTCTTAGAGCTCATTTAACTAGACATGCAGAATTACACAGAAACAGCAACATCAGTCATTGACAAATGCTGTAATCAATGTAACCCCTGTTATGTTTATTGAAACAATGGAAATACGGTTAAAAGTCATAACACTGTTTTTAAATAAAGTTGTATTTTACTATAAATTGATAAGGAGTTGCTGTCCACCCCTAGGTGTGAGTATGTGGTTGCTCTTCTTTGTGATGAACTGGCAACCTGTCCAGGTGGAACATGCTTGTGGATGTGTGTGTATATATATATATATATATATATATATATATATACACTACTCAAAAACTTAAAGGAAAACTTTGTAATCAGAATATAGCATCAAGTTAAATAAACTTCGGGGATATTGATTTGGTCAGGTAAGTAGCAGACGACAGCGTAGAGGAAGGCTGAGGCCAACACAGATCAGTAAAGAATAGTTAAACTATAAATATAAATATATATTTTTTTTATAGTGACAAGTTTCAGTTAAGGTGTGCAGGGTATGTTTATTCAAAACCAAGCTCATGCAAGATAATTCAGAAATATGCTGACAAGTTCATAGCTTAGACAAACTTTGTCATTTAAACAATAAACCCACAATTTTCAGGGGTTTTTTTGTGATGCAAATAATCTATTTTCTCTTTCAAAGCATGTAAACATTTAGTGATATCAGAGTTCTTTTCCCTTATAGCACTGGTTTGCCTAATCTGTTAAAGGAGTAAAAAAAATAAACTTAAACAGTATTTTTTTCCACAAATTTATTAAATCAAGCAAATTCAGAGCACACCTGCTAAAATCATCAAAACCGATCACCCCCAAATATTCCAATCTCAATGGTACTTATTAAGTGTAATAGGTAAAAACAGCTTAATCTTGATAAAACTTTAAGAAATTTGTCATTTATAAAGAGTTAAAATTTAAATAGACATTTATTGTTTCTGATTGAATAAGTAGGAGCTGATTTATTTTGCAAGGACAGTACTCCCAGTTTGTCAAATTTAGCTAAAGATAAACTTCAGGTGGAAATTTATACTAGTTATGAGCGATTTGCACGCACGAAGCGTGCATCAAGCACATAATGTCCAGATCTTTCATATTGGATAACTTTTAGCCCTCCACTTCAAGAAAAGCAATCCTCTTGGCCAGGCTCTCTTCACCGTACTTTTCCTGCAGCATCCGACGGACAGTAGGATCGGTTGAATGCAACAAACCATCGTCATGGCGATTCCAGAGAGGTGCAGAGACAAATGACGGATTCAAAAGCAAATCAACTGCAGAAGCGAAGTCTCCGCTGGTCTTTAGCAAAGCTTTGGTCACACTGACCAAGTCCTAGAAAGACAAATTCAAAAGAAACTATAAACTTAGTGACAGCACTGGAGTACAACGGCCAGCTGCAGCACTCACCCTGTTGGTCTGGTTCATCAGCTCTCGGATTCGCTGCTTGTCCTCCTCTAACTGCACCTGAGTTAGAGAAAAGGTTGCGTCCTTGTCCTTTGATGACGACGAGTGAGATGGAGCTGCTGAGCTTTCACCAACCACAGACTGAGAGTCATCTTGCTGAGATTCACTGTCGAATATGAACAGGTGAGCCTTTGAAGAGGCTCTGATGGGCCGGGAAGAACCAGCATCGGGGCAGCTATTGTTTGGAACAGAGTTACTACTGGAGACCTGGCTTTCTGGTACAGTTCTTTGCGGGCTGGATCCGCTGCTTTCAGGGGGAGACTCGGCACCGGGCGGATGTGGGGTCGGCTCTGATGGCTCCGGAGCGCCTGCTGATGAAGTTGTTCCGTCGTTGTTGAGGAGAACTGAATCCTCATCCTTGTCAGACTATGGAAAAAAAAGTGTGTAAATAAATTTGCCATTCGAATGTATCTGCATACACACGCACATAAATGATTTATGAAGCATTACAGTCAATTCCATTTTCTTTGCAGTCTTTTGCCCTGTTTATTTTTTTGCACTGGATTAATCCCTGATCTAATCTACGATTTTCTTGATTTAGCATCTGTTTCTTGCTGTGTTCACTCTTCTCACCCTCATCTGAACCTCAGAGACAATTTATCTTGGTTGCAGACTAATTCTGTTTCTAGAAATAAATCATTTACATTTTGTTTCTTCATCTTTTTAAGGTCATCATCTGCTGGAATCTTAAATAAACACAGCGGTTCAAAAACAATGTATACAGCTGCTGGCTGCAGTGTATGTCATGCACTAGGATCACAGGAATCTAGATTGGAAATATTTGCAAAAAAATCAAATTTAAGTGTTGCAGAAAAATCTGATGTAGTGTTACATGGGTGTATGAAAATTAAGAACTATAAATAAAAGATGATTACATGAATTTAAGACTATTTTTATAGCCTTAAACTTTGATTTTCATCTGTAAGAGACTTTAAAGACCCACAGAGACAGTGTTTAATGCCTTACACATAGAAAAAAAAAAGTAATTAGCAAATCAGACAGCAAAGAAACAGAAATTAGAGTCAGCAAAAGAAAATCTGATTGGTGAGTCTCTAAACAGCACTTTCCATTTAATGGTATCAATGGTACACTAGCATAGTGAGAAATTGAAATTGGAGCTAATATGCTCTGATCTTTGTGACTGTGTTTGTAGCTCTACCTCAGAACCATCTTCAAACTCCTTTGTAGCCATTTCAAGAATTCCCAGCTGTCTTTTCTCTTTTTTCTTTGTTGCTTTATGTGGGGCTGAGTTAGGCTCATCTTAGGAAAAACAATATATACATATTAGAACATTATCCAGTAACTCTTGGTAGTGAAAAAGAAATTAAGAGTTGATAGAGTCTCTACTTTTTCATCATGTAATGATGCCAAACCTGCTTGTGCTGATTTATCCTCAGCATCATGGCTGTCCTGCTCCTCATCACTCTCCACCACAGCTGCTGCCTTCCTCCCTTTGGCTTTCTTCTGAAGAGTCTCTTCTCTTGGTTGGGCTCTTTGATTAGAAGACTTCCCGGCATATTTTCTTTTTCTCAAGGGTGGAGGAGATGGTGTTGACTGCTCAGCGGTGCTCGAGGATGATCTTAGTTTTTTCACATAAGACTCAGGGGATGAAAAGGATGCCTCCAGGTCAAGCTGCCTGCGTGTAAGCCGACGCCGTGGTTGTTCCGTTAACGGGGAAGGCTCCTGCTTTTTTTTTGGTCTTTTAGTTGAGGAAGTTTTACTTGACGATTTCTGTTGAGCTGGAGGGGGACTTTTTGGTAAAACAGGTGTTGGAGACGCTTCTCTCTCTGCTTCTAGGATCTCTGTGCTGGCTTGGTTATCTGTCTGCTCCTCAGTTATGCGACAGTGAGAAGTTTCACCTTCAACACTTTCAGACTGAATGTTTATATTTTGTTTTTCCTTAGTTGTTCGGTTCTCTTCCACCCCAAAATAAGCCGGTTTCTTAGTTTCTGCATCATGAGATGTGCTTGCTGCTGCTACTGACTGCTCATCGATCTGTGGAAAAAGAAAAGCAATTCTTTCTGTTTGTCTTGACTTAAAACTATCAAAATATTTTTTATTTAAATCCTGACATTAAATATTTTTAAAAAGCGAATAAGTTAGGACTTATCCCATTAGTTACCTGAGTTAGGTCTGAATCTGCAGAAGCAGGAGTGATGGTTGCCTCACAGGAATTTTTCTCAGCATCAAATTCCTGAATGCATTTCACCTGAAAGCACAAACATGACAGGCTACCAATAATCCAAAGGTATTCAATAGCAGAAAAAAGGCCTAAAATAGAAAAGATAATAAAGGGATTTTCTATTCTATTCCGTCTCTTCTGCTCCTTCTTGTGGTGCATTGCTGCCCCCCTCAGGACACTGGCTTATGACATTTCATGGGCATAACGCTGCAGGTTGTTAAGCATAAGTTAGGCTGTCGTTGGAAATACGCTCTGCTCGTTATGAATACTCTATGTATATGCCCAAAATTGAAAAAAAAATAAAAATACTTAGAGTTCAGCGTATGCCAGTGTTTTAGGAGATTCTGGGACGTCAGGCACGCTGGCTAAATCGGCGAGGTGTGACAGGGGCCTGAAGACTTTTTTCAGAGTATATTAGGTACAAATATCCCTGATCAACCCTTTATCTCTTTAATTCCAAATAAAATGTGAATACAGAAGCTTAACATGATAATAACATGCTTTAGACAACCAACACCTTGTTTATGTGCTTTCCTTGCATCTTATTTTAAGTGCGAAATTGTTAGAGTGTATAAAATACAAAAATACAACAAAAAAAAAAAAAGATGGCCTTTTGACTATTTCTTTGAACAGTACAGCAATTAGCAAGGCCTGTGGTTTTAGTCAAGTGCCTCTTTTTTTTCACTTGCCTTTTAGGAAACAAATCCGCAAGATGAATAGAAAAATAAATAAAAAATAAAAACAAACACATAATTATCAGTAAAAGCAATAATTGAGTTGGTATCACATTTGGAGTTACTTTTTTAGAGGTATAGAGGACAATCTTTTATTTCCGCGTGGATCATCTAAATAAGTGGTCCTCAAAATTGTCAATCATTCTGGAGATATGTTTACGTAAAGCTGTTCTAGGTGCTTGTCCCATTAGCTATGTTTTTCTAAGAATGTGCACTTTTTTTTTTCTTTTTTGAGTTTGCAAAAGTGGCACTAGTGGCTTCTTTTATGGACAGTAGGCTGACGGGAAAGGAGGTATGAGAGAAGGAGAGACGGGAAAGGAACACAGCTCGGATTCGAACTCAGGTCGCCCGTGTCGAGGACTAAGGCCTCATGCCGCCCTGGCGTCCTCTTCCACAACATCTTCGTCCCCATTTTTCCTCCTCTAAATAAAAAATGACACAAATCTCTCCTCTCGCATCTTTCCACTGTCAATAGCATTCCTTGACAGGGTTGTTTCTAGGTCATCAATTTAGAGCTACTTGGTCCTATGTAATTTCCCATTGGGAAATACTGCTCACCAGTTGCTAACTTGCGAACCTTCCGCCACAACCATCCCGCCCCCTTGATAAACGACTAATCACATTTATTTTATTCACTTGTGTAAAGTTGGGCACCACTCGGGAAAATTCTGAAATGCAATGGTTGGAAAGGCTGCTTCCCTACGACTTTAAGTTACCTGTTTTGAAATAAAAAATCCGGATAAAGCTGAATAAGCTGACTCAAAATAACTGCGCTCCACTCACATTAAGCTTTTTTCCCCTGAAAAAGAACCAGGCTGCATGGATAGCTCTATTCCTACATCACCCTTTTTTTTTTTAGGGAATATTCTGTATTAACTCAAGAGTATATTTCTCTGAATAAAAATGAGCAATATGAAAAGTAGAAGAATAAATTAGATTGAGGCCTCAGTGTTAGCACAGACCTACATCACCAATGAATCAAACTTTTTTTTGTATGTTTGTTTTTAAGACATACAAATACTAATTTAATGGTACACAATGCATTTCATAGTAAAAAATATTTGAGCTTAAACTCTAAGATATGAGCAAAACATATGATATTAAGCAGCTGGTGATATCAGATCATGAAAAATCCAGTTTATCTGCATCTAAAAACATTAGATAACACGGAATATTTAACTGTGATAAAACAATGAGTGACCCTCTTCAAACAAACAATTTTACAGCACTGTGATTACCTCCTTCTCGTTCTCTGGCAGTTTGTCAGTTTCTTCTCCAATTTCCGTCTCTATAACTCCAGGCTGTTTCTTTGCTAGTCTGTCTCTGTATCTTGATTTCATGGACTGCCAGCTGTGACTGGTCACTTGCTGCTTCTCCATCTCCTGCCAAAGCCGGTTTCCCCCTGTCTCTCCCTTGCGCTGGTTGATAAAATTCAAAATGGCAGCATCATCTTCAGGGGTGTACGCAACTCTGCCTGAGTAAAAATTAGACATTACATAGAAATAAAATACAAGTTTAAAACAAATAAGAAACTTTATGCAACTAAAGCTAAATGTCCATCAACATCATCAACAGGCATTTGTCTGCTTTAAAGTTTATTTAGTATATTCTACTATTTTGTATTATTTGAAGGTCAAAATAATCACTCGGTTTTCAGCAGATTATTACACATGCAAATGGCCTAAAGTACAACATGAAACGAGTCGTGACATGTTTATTTTACAGGTTGCATCTAAGATATGTTTTGTTTTTTACCGTGACATTTTTTTTTTATGACAGAATGAAGTAATATGGAGACAGTGACGTTTGAACCAAGCAGCTTATCTGCTTATGAAGAAGCTTCTAATAAAGTTTTTATTTTTTTCAAAAAAAGCAAAATATATAGAAGAAAAAAGGCTTGGGCCCAGAATGTTTCACCTGTGAGTGCAGAGGGGCTACCCCCACTGCGGTTTAATCTTGGAGAGACTCTGTTGGTCACTACTGGGTTCAGCCTGTAGTCTTCCAAATTCAGCTGCTCCTCCTTCTCTATGCAGTCATGGATGTACTGGGTGGAAACATAACTGGCAATGGAAATAAATATCAGTCATATAGATAATGTTTACCATACCACTCCTGTGTCTGTACTATATTTTCAATAATGTCCAACACCCACCGATGAGCATCGGATGCAGAAATAGAGGTCTTCTCATCAGGATCAATCAGCAGGATAGCTCCTGGCTTCTGCACCTTAGATAAAATCCCTCCTCCGGATGTGATGAGTGGCTGCAGCTGACGTTTGACTGGACCAGGTCGTAGGAAGAATGTCATGGGTTCCCCCTCCACAGTCCAAAAGAGAACGGGTGAAATCGGCTGTTTGTATGACATTTTAAAAAGAAACCTGGGGGGAAAAGTAAAGAAAAAAACAATTAACAAATAAAGAAGAAATATTTGAGCAAAAAAATTTAACTTTGCTGAAAAATATCAGCAGCATCAATTTGTCCACATAGAGAGCAATACACCAATATTCAGTCTTTCAAGCATCTCCCTTCAAGTAAAAAGTGATAGATAATATTGATTCACATTTTTCTTTAAGGCCAAGGGAAAAATTAACATGCCTGTAGTCTTACATGTCAACATAATTAATAGTAAAAACATCATTTGTAGCAGAATAAAAAAGTAAAAAAATTGCCACAAACTGTTAGTAGATTCTCTTTATTTTGTGTGGTGGTTAATGTAAAAGATAAGTGTTAAAAATTGCATGTTTTAAATGTTCCCTCAATTTGATTTAAGTGTTCAACTGCTTTTATTGGCAGTTATGAAGATTTATATCAAGTTTCCTAATTTAACTCCAACCTTGTCTATTTTAGTGAGGCTTCATATATTTGCTAAATGAATAATTTGATGAGCAATTCAAATATGTACATTAAGTGCGCTAGTTTTTATTTATTTTTTTGTTATTAATAAATTATATTGAAGGACTGGTCCCACATAGTAAACATGCAATGTTCAATTATAAGTGTTGCAGTGGATAAACAGAGCTTTAAAGGCATGCATGTCTTTCTGCTTTAGGTTTACACTAAGCATAGACCCCATGAGTAGTTTATCCATCTACAAACACAAAAGAAAATCATAATTATTTCATCCAAAAGGATTTAATTAAAATGTTGCTGCTGATCTTTTGGTAATAAAACAACTTAGCTAGTTTCTGACCATTATCACCTTCAAAAAACAATTTATGCTGAAATAAATACGATCAATCAATATATATTTAAGGAATAGAAAGCCTGAATGAATGTAGCCAAAAATAACTATCAGTCATTTATTGCATTTAAGGCAGTGCAAGCAGCAATGGTCAATTGATAATAAATACACTTGTGATAAACCGTATAGCTACTATAGGTTTTCGCACAATAAAGGTTTGTGTGCGTTTCTGTAGCCAGGCGAAAAAAAAAAAAATGAAAAAACTAGAAGCGTGTTTAACAGTGACTGAGTTATTCACAGCGGATATTGTGTTAGGTAAACTTTCACCGTCAACTACATCAGGTTAAAACACGTTAATCGGAATCTGACTCTAGGCAAACCTTTAGGTTTTATTGCAGGTTTTAACTGCAAACAAAGCAGTAATAATCAACGCCATGCAAAAAAGTAGCACGTCTAATTTAATACCTTTCCCGCCTCGATGGTAACCAAAACAAAACTTACTTCCGGTTAATCCCTCTTCCGCTTCGTCTTCTTCTTCGCCGTTTGCCCCAAACGCTAGGTCAGCATACTACCGCCACCTACTGCAGCAGTCGTCTTGTTGCATCATCTGTATTGATTCTTCTTCTTGTTTTTTATGGCGGTTGGCAAGCAACTTAGTAATGCACATTACCGCCATCTACTGGAATGGAGTGTGGATCGGGATGCTATATATAAATTCTCCCACAAAAAAGAATAATAATTAAGTTAATGCATCTTATTTTCTTTCTAACAATTTCTTCTTCTTAAGGTAATTCATTAAATTAAAAAAATGTTTAGAAGTAGAAAGTTTGTCCAAAATATCTTGTATATTTATTTGCAAATGATTTTCTTGTAATCGACTAACTAATTCCCTTCCCTCAACAGAACATGTTTTACTGTCTCTTCTTGAAAACAAAAAAAACAATTTCCCGTTCGATGTATTCCCATTTAAAATAATGAACTATTTAACCTTGTATGATCAACTTTTCTTTGAATACTGTAAAGCCACATTCCAGTTCTATCCTCTTACCACTGCTTTTCCCATCTTTCCTTAACCTTTTGTTTGATGATATATTTTATTTCTTCTTTATTAAATGATATCAATATATCAATATAACTATTTTTTGTAGCTTGTTTTGCATATTTATCTGCCAACTCATTTCCCCTTCCTATATGTGATGGTATCCATGTAAAAATAACTATAAAACCCATTGCCTGAATTCTATAAATAAAAAAAATTATCTCTAATAAAAAGTTTGGTCTACTAATAGAATGATTATTTAAATCTGTATTGATTAAAATTTAGATTACCCTTTATATCTGATTGTACTGAATGAGGACCCATGATTACCCTTTTCCCAATACTGATGTATCTACTATTGTCTCTGGTCAAATCCAGGTGATATATTACATATTAAAGTTGTTTGTCCAATTTCTAAACTACTTATTTGAAATTCATTTATTTTCTTTTTAATGATCCATCCCAAGCTCCTCATCTTTCCCAATATGAGTTTAAAATTACTGTTGGATCATCAAGGGTATTTCTCTGTAAATTTAATTAAACATTTATTTCTAACAGTGTTCTTCTCAAATCCAAAAGCTTTTCTATCATATCTACCTAGAGAACTACTGTTGGTGTGGTTTTAAATGCTCCTGTATAGTTTTAATGCCGGATACAGAATGATGTCCAATTTAATCAGATGTGTCTTTGCTGCTGATCTGAAAATTATGCAACCAAAATATATGTATTATCTGATCATTCCTGTGTGAATTAGATTTATTGATCCCCTTTCTAGTCCCCAGTCACTGCGGCTCAAATATTTATCTTTTTTTATTCATATATATATATTTTTTCTGTATGTATTTTCCATTTGATCTTTTCATCAAACCGAAAACCTAAACATTTTATACCCTTTACCTGTTCTATGTCTTAAATATGTAATTTAACTAACATGGAACTCCCATTACTCTATTTGAAAAATAACTCTTTGTACTTTCTTTATAGTAAAATATAAAATGCTCCCTCTTCAATAAACTCCTGTATTATCTGCAAAAGATTAACACCCCATTTCTTTACTATTAATCAAACACATCTATCAGTGTTAAAAACAATAGTGAACCTTTTTGTTTTGCATGTTGGCAAGAAACTGTTGATGATCATGTTAAACCGATTACCTACATTTTCTTTAAAAAAGATTTGAATTACTTTTCGACTATTTTAGCAATATATTTATTATAATTTTTCTAAATTGTTCTATAATATAACTCTCATTCTAATATTTCTTACATTTTAAAAATCAAATTCACTATTGTTTAAATTCTCTCCACAAAAATCACATTTTCCTGTATCTTCGTTTTGTAAGTAGAGTACAAATCATTGTGTGACCAAATCTTCTAAATCTATCTTCTCATTTGTTTCTCCTTCTTGTTATCACCTTCTGGTGTCATTTGACTCTCCTGATATCATCTTCCTTTCTCCCTTCATCCTATTCTTTCTGACACTTTTTTTTTTTTTGGTCAACTCTTGTGTAATTTTGCTTGTGGGGAGGAATAATAATTCAAATTAGCAACAATCATGACCTATTTAAGAAAAATTACAATTTTGGGATAAAAAAAACAAGATCTGTTTGCTGAGTTTGAAACACTCCTTCTAATCAGCCCTCCGTCCCCCTGAGGCTGAGAGCTGAGATAGATTACTGCTCCACTGTTTTCAACACCTCATTATAAAGGCATTTCGGTCCTTTAAAACCAAACCTGATGTTTAAAACACAAACACAATTCATTTTTCACAGGATCTCATATGATTAATTCCAGTCAGTGTTAGTGTTGGGAGCTCATGAGTAATATTGGGTTTGTGGAGAGGCTAAAAATGTTACAATCTGATGACAGGCACATGGTTTTTCTGCAGCGTAATGGAAAACTTTGACCTCTGAATCTTCATTTCCCCTTCTTCCAGTTGTCAAAAGTTATTAAAGTTCCTAAAAACTTTCCCCTTCTTTTTCTCAGTACTGAATAGAAAAGAAAGAGTAGAGAAAGTCAGTTTTATGGGCTTTTAAAATTTTAACAGTAATCTTTTTGTACATTATTCCAAAAATAAATGTCACTTTTAGTAAAAGAGGAATGCTCAGTTATTGTCTACAGACACGTTCTCTGCCTACTTGATGTCATTTTGCTTTATTTTTTAAAACACAATTAAAACAATGGAAGTTATTCAACTGCAGGATTTCAACCTGTTTTTATTTTTAAAACTGAATAAGAGACATTTATGTTCATACTCATTTAGATGAGTTAATAATAAGTTTACCCCCTTATTTATTGTTTATACTGATGGTCAAGTCTCTCTATGATACATTTATCCATCCAAAGTTAGTTTTACAGACAGACATTTGTTGGCTCCTCTACTTTCTCAGAGTAACCAAAGCCAATCTTCAAAGAGACAAACTGAAGCTTTTTTGAAAAAAGAGACGAAGAGCAGATTGTTATCCTGTCTGTTATTAAGAGGGAGAGAACCATTTCTCTAATGATGCAGATCTAAAAGAAATCATGTGATAAGCCTGCTGCAAAATGACTGTGAATGTGGACAGATCATTTGAATAATATAATTGCGTAACAATCATTCATTATTATTCTCAGAAATTATAGTATTCATTATTTTTATATGTCATAAATACTATAATGTTATAGAACGTATATGTATGGTCATTTAATATTTGTTAATATGTTGCTGCTCTTGAGTGGAAAAAAGTCAGTTTGACGGATATGGTGATAGTTTGATGAAAGTTTAAGGTTAATTCATTAAAAACACCAGATCAAGCCTTAGTCAAGCAAGATCAAGATCAATCAAGTAGTGTTATTTTAAATTCAGTTTGTGACATACATTCCAACAGAATAAACAGAATTTAAATGCCCCTGCCAACAGCACCTCTGTTTATAGATGTTCTTGCTCAGCCTGTTTTTCAGTGTAGCCCTGTCTCTCTGTGACTGGCTGTTTGTGCTCTCTTTCATCCTCTGACGTGCGAGCTGGCTCGGAGCTCATCGGCCTGTGTTTCCTGGACAGGGCCGCCTGTGGAGCCGATTGACAGTTGCCTTTTATATCTCTGCTTCATTTTCTATCTCTGTTTCTGTCTCCTTGAACCCCAGTCGGCCTCGGCAGATGGCCGCTCACACTAAGCTGT